TGTTATTGTTGTTGTTGCTGTGGTTGTTGTTGTGCGGTGCTTTTGCATCCTGGAAAGCCGTCGACACCTGATTCAGTGTTGTGACCCCTCTTAATCGTTGATGTTATATTAATGATAACTTATCGTTGTTGATATTAATTACATTACTGTAGTGCTATTAGTCTATATACACCTATTTCAGAAATCGTAGTCGCACCAATAGCCTCAAGCAACAAGCCAAGACCGCAGAGAACGCCGGTACTTTTAGCTGTAATTAGTTTCTTCATGGTGCATTTTCATTTATTGACTTCACAAATTGCTCCAAGCAAGGCTGCTTGAGATGATAATTAGTGGAGAGCTATAGCCATTAAAAGTACTGACGTTCTCTGGAGCCTTGGCTTGTTACTTGAGGTTCTTAGTGCAGCAACGATCTTCGAAATAGGTCGACACAACTGGCAAACTTCCTCTCCAGCATACATGAATAGGTTTACTCGTTGGTTCTAACCTGTCCTTCAAGGGTTTTTTTCCGTGTTCTCTAGCTTCCGTCCTCTCTCTAGAAAGGCTGCTTCTAAATTTAAATTCGATCATGGAACGGGGTTTTGCAGGGTTTGATAGCCACTGGCTTCTAAGAGCTACCCTCATAAGCCAAGAAATATAGCATAAGGACAGCCTAATAAACGAGCATAAAATACACTCATAGATTACTATATCTAACTCAACGTTGTCAACAAGGGCATCAATTGACATTAAAAAACCACAAACTGAATATCGTTTTATCAAAGTAAACCACAGCTTTCGACTGATTTAATTGAAATACCTTGGGATTAAATCCATCAGGACTCTTTAATCAAACATCCAAATCTATTGACTCAATTCATTAGTTACCCACCAAGGATTACTAAGTAATGTCAACATTTATCAGTCTTAAACCTTGTGAAGTTCAAATTAAAAAGTCTTTTACTCTATGCGAATTATAAATAGATCTTGTACAACAAAATACTAAGTATGATTATCGTTATGCTTCGTTGTTGAGAATTTTTCTTAAGGATGATTACTTAAATCTCCCAATTTTTTTTTTCTTTTTGCAACTGAATGCAGCCGAATGCTTTGCTCCCACATGGATATTTCAGCTTCTACTGGTGTTTAAGAAAGAACGGAAGCGCACACACACGAGGGTCACTCTATTTATCCTTAAGCATGGAGGATTAGAGCTTGCGCGGTAACGCTTGCGTCTTTAGTAGAACTAGCAGTGCCAAACATGTTCGTGGATGCTGCTGCGCGCTACTTGTTGCAATGCTGCAATTTTATTGGCAATGACCAGATGCATACCCTGTAACTAAAAATATCATCCTAATATACTTCTATAGGTCTGCTAGCGCTGTAGGGTCCAACAAACACAATACATGACCTCTGCGTCTTTTATATAAAGTGATCTATCATTAACACAGTTATATTTATGCAGACTATCTATTTTAAAGTGTATATCTCAAGATAGATGTAATCTAGTTGGATAACATGAGCCAAAAGCCGTATGATCTTGGAGAATCACAGAGGTGATTGCCAAATTTGGACCGCTGTAAGCTTAGGAACTTAACGCAGATAAAAAAAGAATCCGTTTTTCCATGCGAATCAGCAAAGGTTATTAAGTCAACTGAAGACACGAAAATATTATAGTGCAAGCCTTAAATGGATTATAACAAGAGGTTGATTCCACGAATGCTCTAAATTCTTGCCGAGCGGATGGCCAACGGTCGGAGCAAAACAAATAATTTATATACAGTTTTCTTTTTGTGTGTCAAAATATCTAAGCTTTAAGCCAACAATGAGTAGGTACAAAATTGAAGAACGAGTAAAGAAAGAAATTAGTTTTCAAGCGAAACAAACAAAGCATTAATACAGCTCAAAAGAAGGCCAATATTACAGATATTCCGGTTATAGCAACTACTTAAAAACTAACCTTAGACCTGGCACTAGAACCGAGGATATTTAGGCAATAATATTGGAACAGATAACAGTCAATTCACGGCTCATTTTCTACGGTACAGTAACTTAATCAGTTTTTTACAATACAAACAGCTGATCACTAGTAAATAAACACGTTTCCACCCATCCCATTACATATGTTTGCAAACCCAAGTCTAATATCAACACAACAGCAGGGGGCCCAAGTACGTCTTCCAGAAACTACTGTCTTCTTATTCTTAGTAGTTGTTCTTACGACTAAATAGTGATTCTATTTCCATATGTTTTGATTATACTTGTTTCTACCGCGATTCCTAATTGAAGTGGTTTTTTAAAGAAATTGAGCTCGTTTTCTCTGTAGAGACTATGCTTGTAACTTTATCCGACATTACACATGTAATGTTGAAACAAGAAAACAAGCAAATACATGAACATTACACATGGATTGAAATCTTTAATGATTCCTTCAAGATAAGAAATCTAAAAGACTTTTCTTAACAGTTTATTATTGTACGCTATTGTACACTTTAATCAAAAATAAATAAATAAATAAATAAATAATAATAATAATAATAATAATAATAATACAGAAAAGAATTTGAAAAAAATGAAAAATGGAACAGGATTCTTAAATGCGGGTACGACTTTTTAGTCTATTTGCAGGATTATAAGAATAATGAATCAAATGACAAGGTTGAAGCCGGTAGATTTTAGCATCACTTAAGAATCGATCTGTCATATCTTCACAAAACTCTTGTGGATCAAATAAAAGGTGCTCGACCAAGCTCTTGTGATGTTGAGTGGAATAGCTAATGCTATTAAAATTTTTGCTAAAAATGGTAAATATGAAAAACAAAAGGACAAGAAAACCTACGTAATTGATTTAGTAATATCAAAAATGACTTCCATGCTCAGATCTTCATAATATAGTCAAGAAAATAAGTTATTTCATTTCATTTTTTTAAAGTAAAAACCCAAAATTTTGAACCTTTACTTACACATCAGTATTGGTTCATTTTGATATGAAGAATTTCATTGTATATTGAAATTAAGTTTCATTGCTGGAGTTACTATGTCAATCAGCAAAAGCTCGACAGACGAGACGAAAACCATTTCCTTAACAAACAGATGTTTCGCTATTCAGTTTTTTTAAAGATGATTTTCAAGTTTGGTCACGTGAATAGTTTGAATATTCATAAAATAAAGACATCGAATCTTGTTTTTTTTTTTCCTCCCTAACTGTTTGAGATATATCTGCTTGATTTGAGGAACAATATCAAATCTTATTAGATGTAGTCTCCGATTCTGATATGTACGTTCATTTAAAAAATGTAATATTCATACGTTTGATGCCACAAGCTGTACATACATTAATTAAAATATTTCAATTATCCTAAGCTCAAGGGAATTCTATATTTCTATACAAATATCACGTAGTAAGAATAATTATCTGTACATAAAATTTTAGATTTTGTTGAAAGTTTTTTTGTTTACTCGAGCTGGAGTTCGCTGAGATCGGCGTCGTTTCCTCATTACAAATTTATAACAAATGCAACTATTATAACCACAAGCCGACGCGGAGTTCCAACCAAGATGAAAAATAATACCATAGGATTTAAACTGTCAATTGTGAAAGTGAAGGTTGTTAGCCGTTTAAGATTAAGAATGCCAAAGTTCTTGTGAAATGAAACGTGACCCGAAATCAAGACATCAAAACAGTACTGAATAACTTTGACAGCCAAATCGAAAAACTAGGTCTTTATAAATGCGTGTGATAAATAATCATTAGTCTCACTGCACATGTTTGAATTAATTCGATTTAGGAATAGCAACATAGGCGAGGCTGTGTTTGAAAATGACGTCGCTATTTCGCTTACCTTTATGTCCAGATGCACGTAGTTTTGGTTGTGGAGATGCCTCATTCCTTCTAGTATCTGACGAAGAAGGAATACGACTTCTTTTTCGCTTCTTGATGATGACGGTTCATCTGTGTCTAGCGCGACACAGTGCCGATGCAAATCACCCCCGAGTGCTCTGTTGAATTTGTAACCCAAAGACACCAATTATAATGTATACAAAATGTACTGTAGTACCAAGCGTTATTTACAAATACAAAATAAAAATATCTTGATTTCTGGAAATAAAAACAAGAAATAGGACTTACAGTTCTAAAATTAGGATCAGCTCATTTCTAGTCTCGAAGACTTCGTGTAATGTCACAATTTTAGTGTGTTGGTACGGTGTATTTATTGCGCTCAATACTTCGACCTCATGCCAGACCTCACTTCTACAGTCTTGTCCTTTCCTTCTCTTGCGGACAAACTTCGCTGCAAACTGTAGCCCCGTAGATTTCTGAGTACATTGTCTGACAACTGCATACTGCCCTCTAAATAATAAGAGTGGAAAAATATAAATTTTCTATTTTACCCGAAAAATAAAAATATATCCGTGAGTGGAACTCAAGAAAAATGTTAATTAGTCTGTTTCTTACCAGACGCTTAAGCGATAAGCCTGACAAAAATGAACTTGTGCTTTAAGGAAAACGAAAACCTCGGTTGTCTTACCTTCCTATTTGCTCGTGGATTTCGTAGTAGTTTTCTATGGGTTCCGTTATTGGAGTTATAGTGCACATCTTTGAAATGTAGCTGCAGAGCCGGCCGCCTGAAGTGTGTACTTCTCGATTCAATGTGATATCCAAGGACAGAACAACAGCTGAAGCATATGGCAACGGGGTCTGGTTTAAAGGAAGTTATGCAACCATCAACCAACCACCATTACTTTTCCGGGCAATCAATTTGTGATTAGCCAATCAGCTGTTTCCAAAATCATGTAATTTTTGACCTATCTTTAAATACGTCATATCCGGTTGAGTTGAAGTGCCCGTATGAAGGCAATAGTCACGAAAGGTTTGAAAGAAATGCAATCTTCATTCGATGATGCATGTTTGTCTGGTTTATCGGATTTTTTTTCTTATCGCGGTGCAATCAGCCTCCAACGTCTACTGACTCGAACATTAATCAACCTTAGCAAAAATATTCCAAAATATTACTTTACCCTTGTATTAAAGATTTTTGTTTCCTTAAGGGAATAGACTTATTGACTTCATAAAACAAAGACGATTCACGAAATAAAATGACTTTGAAGGGCTCGACTCGGATCAAGGATGATACTGTCCAGTCAATACCGCTTGCGATGTACTTTTGTTGGCGGAGTGTATTTTCATCCTGTAAAATTATTACCATAATGATTTGTGAAATCAAGGTGTGTGGAGTGTGATGTGTGATGTGAATAATATTATGTGGGTGTGAAACTAGACGACAAAATAGGAGAAAATATGAGAAAAAGGTAATTAAAGGGGAAGAAAACTGAAAAATGAGTCATCAGACGATGAGCTGTACGTAGTATGGTATCCTGTGACGTTAACGGAATACCTAACCACGAAACGTGACACCCCCTGCCTCCTTCGAGTACAGTAATGTATCTAAGCATTTGAATGCGTTGTCGCGTCGCATTTTTGGCTGAAGGGGAAAAAAGAAGATAAAAGAGGGAAGGAAGGAGTAGTCACTTGATTTTGTCTTGTGATGTCTCGTTCACATGGACTCTAATAAAGATTATTTTAAAAATTTAATCACTTCCTAAATCAAATATTTTTATTTCCATATTATGTGAAAAAATTGGTTGAATACAAAGGCGCAATTTTAGACTCAGATATCGACACAAGAACAGCTTACTGATTTTACTTCAAAAATTTATTCCTAAAGACAATTTCAGTGGAACAAATATACTATTCGCTCTAATTTCTAACCAATATAGTAATTTTGCGAAATAAAATTTCTAACCAATGTTTCTAACCAATGTTTAATGATTGCATGTTGTGATAAGAAATCTCAAATATTTCTCATGACTGATGTGCTGTCTGAATTGTCATGAAAAATGCCGCACATCTCAAGAAAAATATTAAAATTCTTGACATAAGGTTTTGCTTTCTGCTTTGTTGTTAATTAAAAGTGATGAGGATGRATAGTCGTTGTTGGATTCACAATATAGGAAAAACAAAAGAAGAAAAATAAAGGATGAAGGGAATAGGGGAAATGCGAAGAAATACTATGCAAAATTATATAACGTACGATAAAGGTTATACAGGATTTTTAAAAAAATCGCATGTTACGATACATCATTTGAATATTTTGACGAGAGAGAGCGAGAGCGAGAGAGAGAGAGAGAGAGAAGGAGAAAGAGAGAGAGAGGGAAAAAGAGAGAGCGAGAGAAATTGAAGGAAAACAAACGAGTTGTGTTGACTGCTTTCCCCGAACGGCATTATGGGTCAATTTTTGGTTAGCATTTTCCTAGCTGGGGCTGTGTTGAATGAACTAGAATTCCACCATGAGTTCAACTAGTAGCATTTATGATAAATTTAAAGAATGAAAAATTCATATCTCATGGCTTCTCTTGGCAGAATCGTGGAAAATGCTAATCGAAATATGATGTTGAATACTCAATTCTGATTGGTTGACCTTGAGATTGTTCTGTCAACTCAGCTAAATGTTTGAAATGGTATAGGATGGTGAAAATAGCATATTATCTAAAGTGTTAAAGAAATATAAAAATGAGAATAGGAAAGAAAGGGACTAGAAAATGGAAGGATTTAAAGACTATGATAGTCTTCGTACACGAGTGTTGGAAAGTAGTAGGCAACGTTCACTGTAGCACTGTTCATGACGAGCTTCAATGACAGCTTCTTCTGGACATCAATGAAAACTATTTCCGGCGCTAGTAATTGTGTACTTCAACAACACAAGAAAATGAAATAGCGGAAGGAGGGAGTTTTTGACAGACATCTCAAGAGTACATCTTGTTGAATGAGAACCAGCTCGCAATAAACCAAACCACTCATTTTATGAAACAGGAAGGTCGAGAAGAAATCTGTACTAGTTTTACTGGTTCTACGTACTGAATACTGAGTAATTGTGCGGGATGAAAGATAACAAAAACGGACCAAAAGTTTTATCGTAAAATAAGACCGTTTTCAATTTTCTTAGATTTATCCATTGTTTTTTATTTAGCTTTTTTAGTCTCTTTTATATGTCATTTTTACCCCTTTTTTTTTTCTATGTATTTGATGACTCTCAATTAAAAAGCAAAATTTCGAAAATGTTAATAGCCTACTCTAGTTGATAAGCCGAGGATGCAAACACGACAATTTGTACTGTATATTGATGCCCCATTTACACAGGAACTATAGGAATGCCGCAGTTAAAAGTGACGATTTTTGAAAGCCCTAGCAATCTGTCAGCTATCAAAGACGGAGTCTATTTATAAAAGATGTGTTTGAGTCTTGCGAACTTAAATTGGATCCCGGCGGGCATATGGTGGAGGGAGGGGGTCCCATACTGGTCTCGACAAAGAGAAACACGACACACATCTTAACGAGAAAACATAGAGTGCAACAAAATTGTAAAAATTAGTGCAAAGTTTTGTAGGTCTACGGTCTACTGAACTTAATAATTTGTGCAAATTCGTGATATTTCTTACAAGGTTTTTCACGAATATATGGTATGCACTCGCCAAAAGTGCTTGGTTTCTACTGATTCTTGTAGTTTGGCGGGAACTTTTAAGTCAAAACACGCGCGCGCTTGGCTCCTATCCAGCTCTTGCCACGCTATTAACTATGAAATTTGCTATATATAAGATGGACTCAGACACTGCTATAAAGTAACATCTAAAGTAACATGCTGATAACATGTTGTTTGAGATGGCGGAATTCTAGAGTGTAATTAGTTAGCTTGGATATGGTTTGGTCGGGAGGGGGGAGGGGGAGAGGAGTTAGAATGAAGGACAAGAAAGGGGCTTTGCAAGTTAAGAAAGGATTAACTTAAGGAATGTATTAGAGAGACTGTGATAATTGGAGAATACGAGACTACAGGAGAGAGAAAAGGTGAGGGAGCAGAGTAGTAATGATAGACAAGAAAAGGGTTGTAAAAGTGGGGAAAGAAGGATGTACGGTAAAAGAAATGCAGCAAATAAAGAACAAAAAACAGAGGAAATTAGGGCAGGAGTACGTGCTCCAAAGTGTCAGTATGGTGCATAGGACTCACGAGAAGAAAAGAAAAATGAATGGAAGAAGAAAATGAATAAGAAATAGGTGGCAAATTATACGAGCTGCTCATTTCTAAAGGGAAATCTCACAATAGAATGAAACGACGAAACTTGGGAGTAGTATTTCCTATTTCAGACCACATGTCATTCACATGTCATGAGTTGCTTCGTATTCCTGTTCGCAACAAAATTCCGAGGCAAGTTGTAGTTGCAAGGAAAATTCCCTTGTGTAACAGCATCTTTTCCCTACCTATACTTTACCCTACCAGAAACACTTTTAAAAACTAGCACCTTTACTTGTGTGTATTCACTACAAGCATATCATAATTCTTATCCAGAAGGTCATGGCCAAATTCAGTTGATTATGAAATTTGTAACCAGATGTTAAATCTTACACACGTCTACTGATAATTACATGCCTCTAATAAAAAATAAGATTCTTCAACATAATTGTTGTGGAGCTTGACAAGTTAAAGAGCAGACAAACTAGCCCTCAGGCTACAGACCTTGCAACCTCTTCTTTGACAGCATTTATTCAAGTGTTTAGAGTTTCCGTCCATTTGTCAGGTTTTCAAACTCGAACGTTCTACGCGTGATCATTGAGTGGTAACATATGTGTTTTTAGTTATAAGTATATCAACTGTGACAAAACTTAATTTTGATTTCACGAGGATTAAGTGTATTGTTAGTGCAAATTGCTGCACGTTGTTTTGTAGAGGAATGCCTATCTGATTTGCCTTGAAAGTTGCTGCATTAAAATGAGTATGAATATAGCAATTGATAAATATGTTGATGCAAAAATGCACCCCTTCTTAGAGTGCATACCATATTTCCGTATAAAACTTGGTAAGAAATTGCATAAATTTGCCCAAATTAGTAAGCTCAGTAGACCTCAGTAAAATGTAGACCTATAAAACTTTACACTAATTTGTACAATTTTGTTAGCTGACTTTTTCACGGATATATATAGTATAATATGAACAAAAAGTAGAGAATTTGAAAAAGCCTTAGCATATACTTTTCTAGGATGCTCATCCTTATAGATAAAGCTTTTTTCGACCGACTAAAAAAAGCTTCCAGCGTGCGCAAGAATACTAAGAACTTTTTCTTTCTGCTTGCGACGAGTTTGTGTTTGCTCAGTGCTAGGCGAGAACCCATCATTGCGCTTACAGATAACACTCCATGAAAATAGGATTATACAACGAAAGCTTTTCCGTCAGTTCACCAAATATCTTTCCTTTCGGGCTATAATTGTCCAAGTCGCGCGTTCCTAACATACTGGCTTCAAAGAAAATTTGACCTTTGGCGGTAAACTCGCATCTATCTGTAGTCAAGTACACAGGCGGTCAGTCTTGAGTGATATCAAGTATCGTCTGATGACATTTAAGGAAATTTCCTCTCTATGCAATTTTTATAAAGCATTCTATACAAGAGTGTACGTATAAGATCAATTTTCTAAAGATTCGTGACATTTTTTGCTCTTATCTACATGTCTGTGATGGTTGCTATTTCCTCCTAGAAGATAAAGAATTAGATTCATACTTGATATGCTATGTGCCAATTTAAAGTTAAGACCTAGGAAATAAAGGGTTAGGTTCCGTTATGATTACTCCAAATGAATGCTTTTGTAGAAATATGTTGTATATGATTAATATGTTAAAGCCTTGAACTTGGACCCTGCGAAAATGTGTGATTTGATAAAGGGCATTGTATTATTGATCTACTCTCATTGATAACACAAAAGAACCTGTATTAATATGAGTAGAGTTGGATGTTGGCTCTCTTTTGTGCTTCGAGGCTTTTTCTCGACGTTTTCTAGGTTTTCCTCCCTCTCTATCAGTAGAAATCAACTGAGAAAGAAGCGCAACTCTTTGGAAACACGGTTACATTCCCATATATAATAGACGGCTTGCACTAACAGTTCACGTGACCCTACCTCCCTTAAAAAGAGCAGTTGTGTGAAAACGAAATGAAAAGAGCAGCTCAACATTAGTAAGAGGGCGAAGTTTCAGCTCTTAATGTTGACTATGGCATAAATGGCATTAAATGAAAAATCGAACATTTTATAAGGATTTGTATGGGAAAAGTGTTGGCTGGCAACCTCTTGCCATCCAACGTATTTTCCCATACAAATCCTTATAAAATCTTTCGTACTAATATCTAGGAGCTCTTTTCATTCCGGATGTTCATTTTGACAAAGCTGCTCGTTTTAAGGTAGGTAGGGTCAAGTGACCTTTTAGTTGCAAATAGTCTATTGTTTTTTAAACGATGCATTGTTTGGGAATTCTGTAACACATGGTCAAAAAAKTAGGAAAAGAAAGAAAGAAAGAATAAATGAATGAATGAGTGAATGAAAGAACAAACTTGAAAGAAGAAAAGTGAAAAGGATAAAGGGAAGGAAAAAGGATGGAAGAAACTGAGCAGAAAAAAAAGAGATAAGATTGGAGGGAGTACGGAAGGAAGGGAGAAGCTTGTCAACAACACTAAACAGGTAACCCAAATGTTGTTTTTCTAAACCTATTATGTACAGACTATAAGTAGAAGGAATGGGCACCCAGAATTGTTTAAAAGGGTGATTTATCACGAGTCAACAAGAGAAAATAAATTATTTCTTGGAGTTAAACTTTGAAGGTGAGCTATCTTTGTTTGAATTATGTGTCGACTATCAACAACCACATTAAATGCGCAGGGCTTCAGCTGTTTTGCAGGTTTGTGATACTAATCAAAAGTAGACTTATGTAAGATAACATGAACTAGGCTATAGTTCGAAAAGTCGAAGAGAAAGAACTGAAGTTTTAGTATTTAGCACGAGGAAACCTCAAAAATACTTTCTCACGCGACAAGAAGTAAACTGGACAGACAATAACTTTATACTGATCCTAAGAGACTAAAAATACGAGTTTTAACAGGCTTACAAACCCGTTTTCAGCGACAAATTTTTAATAATTACTAGATTACATACCAATATCTCATAAACATACCTTACTTTAAAGCATCTCGAGTACTTAAAGGATTTATACCATCTTTCAAGTGCACCATTATTGTCTTTAACTTCAAGTGCTTTCAAATTTCCCTCCACGCAAGGCAGCCATTTTGTTTTGAGAAAATGCTGAGCCCGCAATCATGTAGACCATCGAACGCTTTTCCGAAATGTTTCCGAAGATAATACGACAGTGTTAACCAATCAATTTTGTCGTTCTAGCAAGGTTTAGGTTTGAAAATGTTTTTCGGTACGAGTTTTCGATTAAAGTTGCTAACTTTTTTTATTACAAACGTGTTTTAGACTTGATTCAACTAAATCTTATGAAATACAAATAAAAGTTTAGTTCATTTTTATTTGACTCACAAATCTAACAATTTTCATTTGCTAACTGTACAATAAAGATTCAATTAGCTTTTATGTACAATTTAAGCGCATTCTATAATTATCATTATTATCATTGTTTGCTTTTTAGGTCAATATTCACCATTCTTGATTTAAGGGGTCAGAGCATCTATGTAATTACCATGACAACACATATTAATTCACAATCAGTTGTCAATTCGATATTCAATTTCAACAAAAATTAATTTTGCTCTTAATTTAGTAACAATTTGCGATAGTCTAGTAAAATTTTGAAATCGCCCATATTCATACGAAACTGGCCAACAATTGTCATCATATTTACAAAATCATCGCATTGTATAATTCATATACGCCTATGATAAATTTACAATTTTTATAAAACTACAAGACAAGAAATCTCTCTAACCAAAACAGACCAAACGTCCAAGGTTTTAGGACAAAAATGGGATCAGAAAAACAATTACAGTGAGATAATTTGGAAGATTTTACGTGGGCAGTTTTTTTGATTACAAGAAGAAGATAGAATCGATCAATTCAAATAAAAAAATTGCCGCCTTTATAGAAACAGGTTGTCCTCTTGTTAAATAGGGTAGTTTGATTTACATATGGGTCAGGGAGCATTTCCTAGATGTGAGGAGGGCCGAAGGAATTTAAGGGAGGGACCATTTTATCAACATCCAAAGAATCTTAAAGAAACCTCAAACACTGCTACAAAAGGAGGGCTATAGTTAATCTTCATTCCAATCCAAGGCTGTGTTACTTATATTTTTTTAAAGAACTGTATAGGATTACATTTTCATTCCTTTGAAAAGTGTTGGGTAGTATTACTCTATGGTGGTCTATGGAGTTTCCTCCGGCCCTCACCCCTACCCCCCTCTTCAAAATCCTCAAATTTCATATAATAATTATCAAATGAYATCTACTATAATCTTGAAGTTCTATTTTGTTTTATGATTGGCGCATTCTTACTTGGTCCTAGTCTCTTCCTCTTCAGGAGAAAATGCAACTTTTTGGTGAGAACAAATGACAAGTGGCGTTAAAGCTTTTCTAATTTACCAATTTTAACAAAAACTAGATACTTTAAAAATAAATAAAAAATATTAATTGGTTAGTGATTTTTCATTTTTTTAAGCGTTGGAATGATAAAACGTAATTTGGTATTCAAAATATAGAAATTTAACACAATATGACTATTTGAAACGACGTTTAACGATATATTAATGCTTGAATAAAGCACCTTGGAAAGTGCATTTTTAAGCAGAATATTCGAGAAATGATGGTGGAGATAATTGATGAAAACATTGAAATTCTCAGGAAAATTTTAAAAAGTTGGTTACAAGTTAGTTGAATTGGTGTAAAATGTGATCATAATGTCACGTGTTCAAGTAAGTTAAATTATATGAAGTTTACCTGTTTTCCCATATCAGACCACGTGTAATTCTCTTTAGAATAAAATTCCATGTTTGAGTTGTATCCATTTTTTTGTGTGTCCTTTCAAGCACAACCGTTAAACAAAGGAATTACATTCTGGGAATGACACGTGGTCTGTGATGTGACAACATTACGCCCAAGCTAAGGAGGTCTATATGTAAGCATTCTGATTTGCAATTTCTCGAATATTCAGCGAAAAGCCTACGATCGTTCTACAGAGGTGCCCTCTTTCAAGTGGAGACTTATTACCTTATATGGTAAATCTTCATTATGTTGCGCATTTGCATAAACTGCCAAGCCGCCCTCCAATATGGCTGCCATATCATTGAAAGTCTCTATGGAACATTACTTAAAATTTCAATTCATTAAAAATAATTTCATCGATAAATTTCACCAATTTCATCGATTATTGCATAGAAAACGTGCCAGTTTCTTCGACTGCGAAAGTGAGCTTCTCAAGCAGTTCTTCGTAGGATCGATAGACTGGAAGATCCAGGCGATTAAAACAAGTGTGAGCTCTGAAAGATAGGATAAGTGTCAGATGTTGATGATGGATCGCTGGTAATTCGCTTTTTTTGAAGTTCTAAAAAGACTTACAACCTCATCCAGTGCATGGGATTGAATTTATGGCGCAAGCCTTGCAAGCCAAGCCCTTTTTTGATATGCAACAAACCTTCACAAACTATTTTTGAAATAGTTATATAGACCCCTTGCAGCACTTTGGAATGCAGCTCAATTTGTAGGGCAAAACAATACGTTTCCAATTGTCGGGAGTTTGAAATTCTTTTGTTTTGTCCTCCAAATTGAGATGCTTTGACGTGACATGCAAGGGGACTATACCACCAACATGGCCGTAGTGTCGTAACATGCAAGGGGACTATACCACCAACATGGCCCCAGTGTCGTAACATGCAAGGGGACTATACCACCAATATGGCCGCAGTGACGTAACATGCAAGGGGACTATAACACCAACATGGCCGTGGTGTCGTAACATGCAAGGGGACTATACCACCAACATGACCGCGGTGTCGTAACATGCAAGGGGACTATACCACCAACATGGCCGCAGTGTCGTAACATGCAAGGGGACTATACCCCCAACATGGCTGCAGTGTCGTAA